CTGTTCTAGTTCTGTTCTAGTTCTGTTCTAGTTCGGTTCTAGTTCTGTTCTAGTTCTGTTCTAGTTCATGTTCTAGTTCTGTTCTAGTTCTGTTCTAGTTTCTAGTTTCTAGTTCTGTTCTAGTTCTGTTCTAGTTCTGTTCTAGTTCTGTTCTAGTTCTGTTCAGTTTGTCTAGTTCTGTTCTAGTTCGTTCTAGTTCTGTTTCTAGTTCGTTCCTAGTTCTGTTCTAGTTTGTCTAGTTCTGTTTCTAGTTCTGTTAGTTCTGTTCTAGTTCTGTTTCTAGTTCTGTTCTAGTTCTTTTCTAGTCTTTCTAGTCTGTTCTAGTTCTGTTCTAGTTCTGTTCTAGTTCTGTTTCTATTCTGTTCTAGGTCTGTTCTAGTTCTGTTCTAGTTCGGTCTAGTTCTGTTCTAGTCTGTTCTAGTTGTTCTAGTTCTGTTCTAGTTCTGTTCTAGTTCTGTTCTAGTTCTTTCTAGTTCTGTCTAGTTCTGTTTAGTTCTGTTCTAGTTCTGTTCTAGTTCTGTTCTAGTTCTGTCTAGTTCTATTCTAGTTCTGTTCTAGTTCTGTTCAGTTTGTTTTATTTCTTTTCTATTCTGTTTTAGTTTTGTTCCTATTCTAGTTCTGTTCTAGTTCTGTTCTAGTTCTGTTCTAGTTCTTTCGTCAGTTCTGTCTAGTTCTGTTCTAGTTCAGTTTCTAGTTTCAGTTCTAGTTCAGTTCTAGTTCAGTTCTAGTTCTGTTCTAGTTCAGTTCTAGTTCATGTTCTAGTTCAGTTCTAGTTCAGTTCTAGTTCATGTTCTAGTTCAGTTCTAGTTCAAGTTTCTAGTTCAGTTCTGGTTCTGTTCTAGTTCTGTTCTAGTTCTGTTCTAGTTCTGTTCTAGTCTGATCTAGTTCTGTTCTAGTTTCTGTTCTTAGTTCTGTTTAGTTCTGATTCTAGTTCTGTTCTTAGTCTGTTCTAGTTCTGTTCTAGTTCTGTTCTAGTTCTGTTCTAGTTCTGTTCTAGTTCTGTTCTAGTTCTGTTCTAGTTCTGTTCTAGTTCTGTTCTAGTTCTGTTCTAGTTCTGTTCTAGTTCTGTTCTAGTTCTGTTCTAGTTCTGTTCTAGTTCTGTTCTAGTTCTGTTCTAGTTCTGTTCTAGTTTCTGTTCTAGTTCTGTTCTAGTTCTGTTCTAGTTCTGTTCTAGTTCTGTTCTAGTTCTGTTCTAGTTCTGTTCTAGTTCTGTTCTAGTTCTGTTCTAGTTCTGTTCTAGTTCTGTTCTAGTTCTGTTCTAGTTCTGTTCTAGTTCTGTTCTAGTTCTGTCTAGTTCTGTTCTAGTTCTGTTCTAGTTCTGTTCTAGTTCTGTTCTAGTTCTGTTCTAGTTCTGTTCTAGTTCTGTTCTAGTTCTGTTCTAGTTCTGTTCTAGTTCTGTTCTAGTTCTGTTCTAGTCTGTTCTAGTTCTGTTCCAGTTCTGTTCTAGTTCTGTTCTAGTACTGTTCTAGTTCTGTTCTAGTTCTGTTCTAGTTCTGTTCTAGTTGTGTTCTAGTTGTGTTCTAGTTCTATTCTGGTTCTGTTCTAGTTCTGTTTTAGTTCTATTCTGGTTCTGTTCTAGTTGTGTTCTAGTTCTGTTCTAGTTCTATTCTAGTTTTGTTCTAGTTCTGTTTTAGTTCTGTTCTAGTTCTGTTCTAGTTCTGTTCTAGTTCTGTTCTAGTTCTGTTCTAGTTCTGTTCTAGTTCTGTTCTAGTTTTGTTCTATTTCTGTTCTAGTTCAGTTTCTGACAGTTTTTGCATGATAGGTTTTTAATTGAGAACGTGTTTGAATATGAAACCTCACTAAAGCTATGTATTCTGATAGTCATACCCATTTTTTTTATAAAAATTTTAACCTCAAATTTGTGAAACTTTCTTAATTACTGCCAGATAATCACCCACATTACAACAATTCTTCAACCATAATGACACATAATCTTATAATTTTTCACTGCTGTAGTATTTTGTAATATTCGACTTAAGTCAAGTGTAACAAATGGCAAATTAAATAACGATACTTCAAACTTAACCCACCCCAACAATAAAACTGTTAAAGAAACAACAGAAAAGTCAAGCACTTTAATACATTATTGAACCAATTATCGAATACTAATTGGGTCACATGATAATGATTTTACAGAGAAACGAAGAAAATATGAAGAAATATTGCAACCATTGACCTATAAATTATAGATACAGAGAGATATGGAACTGTTATAGTAAAATTTCAACTGCAATTTATGCATTACACAGAGAATTATAAGAATTATCTTAAATGTTTTCTTAATGTTTAGAATAATTAAGAATAACAAAAAATTGGAATATAAATATAAATTTTTAATACATAAAGATTCCATCAAGACTCATTCCTATCAATAGCTATCCATGGTTTATGCCTTATGCACAGAATAATGTATAGTTTAGTAATAGATTAATGAAAATTTATTACCCCAAACTCTTGGAGGCATTTGAAAAATAAACCAAAAATTTAGCAAACAAAATACATAACAATAATTGATAACTGCCTTAAATTTATTAGCAGCAACCAAGGTTTGGTACAGGGAAATAAACAAAAACTCTTGCAGTATGAACCACCACCCCGCACAATTACTGTGACATTGTAAACTTGGCGCATAGTTTGCTAAACTTGTACTGTTAACTTTACTTGCTTGTTTGAATAACCAACTAACTGTGTGGTCTATGGGATCTATTAATTTATCCATAAACTAACATAATTGCCCACTATCACTTAGTATTATGTGGTTGGCAACGTTTGTTTATTTTAAAATTTTTTTTGGCACAATATTTTTCTTTAATTAATTTATTTTGTTTATCATATTACATTCAGCTAAACACATGTAAATATTTTGTTATTTAATATTTAGAAACAAAAAAAATTCATTCGATTTCTTTTTTGTCACTTTACAAATTAATTAAATGAAATGAAAAAAATAACTTTTGATTTAATTTGACATTAAATGACTGTTAAGCTGTCAGCGCCATCAATTAATTGAAATGCAATGAAATACTTTATTTACACTGCTTCAGATGTCATGTTAACCAATCAGTTACACATGACGTTTAGACATCAGTCTTGTGTGAAATGAAATAATGTCATCAAGATTAAGAGATAGAAAATGAGAAAAAAAAATGCAGGAAAATTAAAATTAGATAACAAGGGGTTAAAATTGAAGTGAAAGAAACTGAAATGTTTGAGTTGAGCTTACATGACAGCTGTCATAATAAGTGACAAATCAAAACAAATTGAAAATATGGAAGGAACTAAATTGAAAAAGAACTGGCATACATCTATAACAGAACTAGAACAGAATTAGAAATGTCAACAGTTTTTTAGGTTAGTTGAGTTCAGTTCTAGTTCTGTTCTAATTCTGTTCTAGTTCTATTCTAGTTCTGTTCTAGTTCTGTTCTAGTTCTGTTCTAGTTCTGTTCTAGTTTCAGTTCTGTTCTAGTTCTGTTCTAGTTCTGTTCTAGTTCTGTTCTAGTTTCTGTTCTAGTTCTGTTCTAGTTCTGTTCTAGTTCTGTTCTAGTTCTGTTCTAGTTCTGTTCTAGTTCTGTTCTAGTTCTGTTCTAGTTCTGTTCTAGTTCTGTTCTAGTTCTGTTCTTAGTTCAGTTCTAGTTCAGTTCAAGTTCTGTTCTAGTTCTGTTCTAGTTCTGTTCTAGTTCTGTTCTAGTTCTGTTCTAGTTCTGTTCTAGTTCTGTTCTAGTTCTGTTCTAGTTTTGTACTAGTTTTGTTCTAGTTCTGTTCTAGTTCTGTTCTAGTTCTGTTCTAGTTCTGTTCTAGTTCTGTTCTAGTTCTGTTCTAGTTCTGTTCTAGTTCTGTTCTAGTTCTGTTCTAGTTCTGTTCTAGTTCTGTTCTAGTTCTGTTCTAGTTCTGTTCTAGTTCTGTTCTAGTTCTGTTATAGTTCTGTTCTAGTTCTGTTCTGTTAGTTCTGTTGTAGTTCTGTTGTAGTTCTGTTGTAGTTCTGTTTCTAGTTCTGTTCTAGTTCTGTTCTAGTTCTGTTCTAGTTCTGTTCTAGTTCTGTTCTGTTCTAGTTCTGTTCTAGTTCTGTTCTAGTTCTGTTCTAGTTCTGTTCTAGTTCTGTTCTAGTTCTGTTCTAGTTCTGTTCTAGTTCTGTTCTAGTTCTGTTCTAGTTCTGTTCTAGTTCTGTTCTAGTTCTGTTCTAGTTCTGTTCTAGTTCTGTTCTAGTTCTGTTCTAGTTCTGTTCTAGTTCTGTTCTAGTTCTGTTCTAGTTCTGTTCTAGTTCTGTTCTAGTTCTGTTCTAGTTCTGTTCTAGTTCTGTTCTAGTTCTGTTCTAGTTCTGTTCTAGTTCTGTTCTAGTTCTGTTCTAGTTCTGTTCTAGTTCTGTTCTAGTTCTGTTCTAGTTCTGTTCTAGTTCTGTTCTAGTTCTGTTCTAGTTCTGTTCTAGTTCTGTTCTAGTTCTGTTCTAGTTCTGTTATAGTTCTGTTCTAGTTCTGTTCTGTTCTAGTTCTGTTCTGTTCTAGTTCTGTTGTAGTTCTGTTGTAGTTCTGTTGTAGTTCTGTTGTGGTTCTGTTGTAGTTCTGTTCTAGTTCTGTTCTAGTTCTGTTCTAGTTCTGTTCTAGTTCTGTTCTAGTTCTGTTCTAGTTCTGTTCTAGTTCTGTTCTAGTTCTGTTCTTGTTCTGTTCTAGTTCTGGTTCTGTTCTAGTTCAGGTTCTGTTCTAGTTCTTTTCTAATTAAATTTTAATTCAGAAATGTTGTTGTCTTATTAAGTCTAATTTTAAGATTTTGATTTTAGCATATTATAAAATTTAGTAATTAGTAATATGATTGGAAAGTAAAATAAATTTTATTTAAAAAAAAAAACGTTAAAATTGAAAAGAAAAATCATGAAAATTATTTGTAAAATTTGGATTTTAATAATTTTGGTAAGTTGCCCCTTCAAGACCCGCATAAGTTTAATTCCAAAATCTACAAAGATCTTCAATATTAATAGAAACTTTTGTTTTTATTCTTTCTATTATTAGGCCGTCCATAGTACCGGCGCCATACGCCCGGCCACCACCAAAGACAGCCAAGAAAAATGTGGCTCCGTTTGTGTCGTAAAGTTAGTGAAATCTTTTCACAATCGAAATTAAATCATGGCTATAATTATATAACCAGTATACCGGCGGGAGCCATGAATTTGACTATTAAACAAGTGGCTAAGAGTAGTAATTTGATAGGTAAGTATGGTGGATTGATTTGGGTTTTTGGAGTTCTAAATTTGATTATATATTTTATATCATTATAGCCTTGAAAACCACCGACGACATTTATATCATAAATGGCAATAATAAAGCCTCCGAGGGTGGTATATTTTTATACGATGATGATGTCTACGACTATAATAAAGAGACTAGTACTATTTTGGCCAAGGGACCTCTACGTAAACCGGTGAAACTTATGGTATGTAAAGCATTCTCGGGTATAAAAGGGACTACTATATAGTGTAATTTTAAAAACGATTCTATAGCTTTTAGTGCGTACCCTTAATCCGGGCATTAGTTATACTTATACTTTACCCGTGGCCTCCGCTTCCATAAGTGAACCAGAGGAATTGCAAAGCCAATGGAATGAGTTGGGTCAACCTCTAGATGAAATAGATGAGAATTCGATTAAAGGTTCGGGAAGCTCTCAACTTGCTAGAGCTAAGGAGAAGAAACGTAGAAGATTTTCTTGGGAATTGTTGGGTTTTGGGCCCTGTAATCGTTCCTGTGGTCGTGGCATACAGTTGCCTATTTTTAGATGTATACGAGATTCACCTACCAAGGAATCTTTAAGTCGATATTATTCACCCAAAAGATGTGCTTTCATAGAGAAACCACAATTCAGCGAAGATATATATCATTGTAACCGAGGCCTTTGCCCGGCCTACTGGCGTCCTTTGGAATATGGTGAATGCGAGTGTGCTGAGGGTCAGGCCGAAGGGGTACGCAGTCGTAAGTTGCAATGTGTACAAGAACAAGCTAGTGGCAGTATAGAGGAAGTGGAGGAAACAAAGTGTAAAACTGAAAAACTACCCGATCTAAAGGAAACTTGTAATTGTCATCTAATGGCTAAAAGGAAAATTTATGCACGTAATCCTGATAATACACCGAAAATGTATTCAAGACTTATTGGCTCACCGGGAGCGGTGAAAAGTGTTTTAGGTAATTAAACCCTTTTAAAAAGTAGAAATTAAGGAAATTAATATATTTTGAACCTAATTTAAAGGTAAACGTCATTTAAACTCCTCCACGGCCCCTCCCCTGAGGCGTTTCCATCGTGATGATCGTTTCGATAAGTCTGGTGTTTGGCTTATGTCCGATTGGAGTGATCAATGTTCACAAGACTGCAATGTTGGCTTTGAACATCGCACTATTTACTGTGATCGTACCGCACCCTATACCGATCTTTGCGATGCCCGCTTAACACCCGAACAAAAACGTTCCTGCTCCATACGTTCATGTCACAAGGGATCTTGGTTTACATCGGCTTGGTCTAATTGTACGGGAGAATGTTTTAATATGCAGCGTACTCGAAAGGTATTATGTATTATGGATGGATTTGTTGTGGATGCAGCACAATGTTCACCGGACACTAAACCCACAGAAGCGGAAAATTGTACCCGACATGATAACGAATTTTGTGGACCAAAATGGCATTATTCGGAATGGTCGGAGGTAGGTTATAAATATAAAAAAAGGTTTTCAAATTCCCAAATTTTATCCTCTTCCTTATTCTTTTAGTGCTCCCGCCCATGTGGTGAAGGTGTTCAACGACGCTACGCTAAATGTCTCGAATTTGATTGGAAACAAAACGCCATGATCGAATCGAATAAATGTAAATATTTGGAAAGAGAACCCGTCTACGGTGCCTGTAATTTGGCCAAATGTGAAGGTAATCAAATGACACATACCATAAGGAGAACTAGTAATAGTGGTGGTAATTTATGGAAATACATAATAATGTTTTTGATTTTCTTCTTCGTATGTTTTTGGTTTTGGAAACTTGTACAGAATTGAAAAAGCAGCAATATAACAGTGGTGCTGCTGCAACCGCCAACGATATGGAACAATTGCAAACAGACTATGAACACAATTATGGCTTGGAAGCAGAGGAGGATATATTGGGTGATGTTGGTGTTAGTAAACATAAAGTTTATAGAGATTTGTTAGCGGGCAAAGAGAAATTTGTAATAGCAGCGGCGCCACAAAGCCTACAAACTTGTAATGATGAGTTAAATAATTGTAAACGTATTAATCGTGAACGTCTGTGTAAATTGGAATTTTATCGAACATATTGTTGTCAATCGTGCCATGGTTATTAGTAGGGAGTGATGAGGGACAATAGGAAAAGGAAGAGAAATCGTAAAAATAAACCAAGAAGAAGGGAAAAAGTACCAAATACTAAGTATATGATGTGAAAGAATCCAAATCAGAAATAGAAAAGACTCTAGTCTCTAGTCCAGACTATAGTCCAGACTATAGAATGGACTATAGAATAGACTTTAGACTAGGCTATAGACCAGGCTATAGACTAGACTATAGATTAGACTATAGACTAGACTATAGACTTGACTATAGACTAGACTATAGACTTGACTATAGACTAGACTATAGACTAGACTATAGACTAGACTATAGACTAGACTATAGACTAGACTATAGACTATAGTCTAGACTATAGACTAGACTATAGACTAGACTATAGACTAGACTATAGACTAGACTATAGACTAGACTATAGACTAGACTATAGACTAGACTATAGACTAGACTATAGACTAGACTATAGACTAGACTATAGACTAGACTATAGACTAGACTATAGACTAGACTATAGACTAGACTATAGACTAGACTATAGACTAGACTATAGACTAGACTATAGACTAGACTATAGACTAGACTATAGACTAGACTATAGACTAGACTATAGACTAGACTATAGACTAGACTATAGACTAGACTATAGACTAGACTATAGACTAGACTATAGACTAGACTAGACTATAGACTAGACTATAGACTAGACTATAGACTAGACTATAGACTAGACTATAGACTAGACTATAGACTAGACTATAGACTAGACTATAGACTAGACTATAGACTAGACTATAGACTAGACTATAGACTAGACTATAGACTAGACTATAGACTAGACTATAGACTAGACTATAGACTAGACTATAGACTAGACTATAGACTAGACTATAGACTAGACTATAGACTAGACTATAGACTAGACTATAGACTAGACTATAGACTAGACTATAGACTAGACTATAGACTAGACTATAGACTAGACTATAGACTAGACTATAGACTAGACTATAGACTAGACTATAGACTAGACTATAGACTAGACTATAGACTAGACTATAGACTAGACTATAGACTAGACTATAGACTAGACTATAGACTAGACTATAGACTAGACTAGACTAGACTAGACTATATAGACTAGACTATAGACTAGACTATAGACTAGACTATAGACTAGACTATAGACTAGACTAGACTATAGACTAGACTATAGACTAGACTATAGACTAGCTATAGACTAGACTATAGACTAGACTATAGACTAGACTATAGACTAGACTATAGACTAGACTATAGACTAGACTATAGACTAGACTATAGACTAACTATAACTAGACTATAGACTAGCTATAGACTAGACTATAGACTAGACTATAGACTAGACTATAGACTAGACTATAGGACTAGACTATAGACTAGACTATAGACTAGACTATAGACTAGACTATAGACTAGACTATAGACTAGACTATAGACTAGACTATAGACTAGACTATAGACTAGACTATAGACTAGACTATAGACTAGACTATAGACCTAGCTATAGACTAGAATATGACAACTAAGACTATAGACTAGACTATAGACTAGACTATAGACTGACTATAGACTAGACATAGACTAGACTATAGACTAGACTATAGACTAGACTATAGACTAGACTATAGACTAGACTATAGACTAGACTATAGACCGACTATAGACTAGACTATAGACTAGACTATAGACTAGACTATAGACTAGACTATAGACTAGACTATAGACTAGACTATAGACTAGACTATAGACTAGACTATAGACTAGACTATGGACTAGACTATAGACTAGACTATAGACTAGACTATAGACTAGACTATAGACTAGACTATAGACTAGACTATAGACTAGACTATAGACTAGACTATAGACTAGACTGTAGACTAGACTGTAGACTATACTAGACTAGACTATAGACTAGACTGTAGACTAGACTATAGACTGTAGACTAGACTATAGACTAGACTATAGACTAGACTATAGACTAGACTATAGACTAGACTATAGACAAGACTATAGACTAGACTATAGACTAGACTATAGACAAGACTATAGACTAGACTATAATCCAAACTATAGCACTATATAGACTAGACTATAATCCAAACTATAGCAGAGACTATAGACTAGACTATAGACTAGACTATAGACTAGACTATAGACTAGACTAGACTATAGACTAGACTATAGACTAGACTATAGACTAGACTATAGTCTAGACTATAGACTAGACTAGACTATAATCCAAACTATAGCAGAGACTATGGACTAGACTATAATCCAGACTATAGATTAGTCTATAGTCAAAACTATATATAAATCTTTAGTCCAATCTATAGATAAGTCTATATTCCAGACTATAGATAAGTTTATAATCCAGACTATATATAAGTCTATACTCCAAACTATAGATAAGTCTATAGTCTAGACTATAGATAAGCCTATAGTCTAAACTATACATAAGCCTATAGTCTAAATATACATAAGTCTATAGTCCAGACTATAGATTAGTCTATAGTCCAGACTATAGATTAGTCTATAGTCCAGACTATAGATTAGTCTATAGTCCAGACTATAGATTAGTCTATAGTCCAGACTATAGATTAGTCTATAGTCCAGACTATAGATTAGTCTATAGTCCAGACTATAGATAGTCTATAGTCCAGACTATAGTCCAGAC